AAAAAAAAAAAAAAAAAAAAGAAAAAGAAAAAGAAAAAAAAAAAAAAGAAAAAGAAAGAAAGTACAGGGAGAGTTTTGGCTTTGGTCATATTTGATGTTCAATTCATCACAGATAAACTTTGGTTAGATAAGGAATTGGAGTTCTAGTTTAAAAACATTTGTCTGTATGAAAGCTTAAAAACGTCAGCCAGAAAGGCAAGATTTGACAAATGTTGTCTTAAGTTGCTATCATCTAGAAACAAATTATCAGAGTATTAAAAATCTACTTAGTGGAAATTAAATCTCACTTTACAAACAATTTATATAACACAGTTTTCTATTAATTTGTAAATTAGCACCAATTGATCAATTAAAATATTAGTATACAATTTTGCAATTCTTTATGTGTATCAGTCTTACAAGGTCCCTTTTGTATAACTTATGCTTCTATTAACTAATAATTTAATTCTATCTTACTAAATGAAAATGGAATCTTGCCTAGAAACAAAAACATCTCTGAGTAAGAATATTCCCCACCCTCCTTTTAGACAGAGAAAGCAGATTCTAATATTTTTAGTTCCTAGAAAATTTTAGATTCCTAGGTTCCCAACAAATATAAAATTAGGAGAAAAATTTGGTTTGCTAGTCTGATAAGTATACAGGATTATTTTAATTTGCTGAGCTCTGAATCAGACATTGGGAAGGTAGAAACATAGATACTAAATATGAAAGAAAGCAAACAAGTAAAAAAGTAAAATCAGATAGTTATAGTACAATTAAGAAATATTAATTCTACTTGTTTGCAGAAGAGCAACACCAGAGAGCCTAAGAACATTGCGGTCTGTGCAGATCATGGCTTTCATGGGACACCCGAACACACAGCTGATCACCAAAAAGTGTCAAGTTCAGAACACTCTTAGATCACCCCTGTAGTGATCAGAAAATTTGAATTGTCAACTTATAATGAGCCCAAACAGTATTGTAACGTAAAACGAAACATAGTGTAAGAACAGATTGTGTTTTAGAGTTAGGCTAAGAAACTACTATTTCTCCTTGTACTGGTTTCTACATCCAAAATAAACTCACACCATTTTTGTGGTTTCATGTACAACTCAGAGAAAGTTCAGTATTATTTATAACAGTAAAAAGTCTAGATTGATGACTAAGAGAAAAACTTGTACAACAATTACAAGAAGGGTACTCATCCCAAAATGAAAATTATCTCCAGAAAAGAGGTTACAAATTTTACCAATTATGAGCTTTTGAATATTTACATATTACCATTATTTTAATACACTTAGAAGGTCAATTTAGTGAAGTACAGATACTGAATCACTCTTTCTGGTAAGTAACTATGAGATTAAATTTTCTTAAATGTCCTTAACTGTTCTTCATTAATGCTAATTTTCTGGTTATGGATTAAAAACTATGTTATTCATGGTATATTCAAGGTAGTTGATAAATGGTAGCTAAGGTAATGTCTAATCAATTACAGTTTTTTTTTTATCAGAAATGTTTAACAAAAGATTATTAAAGACAAAATCCAGATACCTTAAGAGAATATATTTTCTTACATTCTGAAAAACCATAATGTGAAATTAATAATATAGTTAACATATGCTGTTAGAATCATACAACACCTCCTTCCCAATCCCAGAGATAATTGGCAAGTAGATCAACTACTGGCAAAATGCTTTTTATGTGTTTTTTTGCCACTACCATCGCATTATAGAATGCATAGAATTAAGTTCCTACTATTTTTATGCCTAAGAATTATTCTGTAATATTAATTATCAGAACTCATTTCACAGAAATTCAATAGTTAACAATTGTGATATAAAAGAAATAGCACTGAAATGAAGGTTAAGAGATTTTTTTCCCACCACTATCTTACCATGTGATTTTGGACTTATTTCTTAAAATTATTGTAGTCTACTTTTTTTAACTGAAAAATGAGTGAGTTGGACATGATGCATGCTAAATTCCATTTCAGTTCTCTATGAACCAACTATCTTAAAAAAACACAAGAAATATCTGAGAAAAATATCTGACCACATTGAATTTCAAAATAAATTCTTGGGTCGTTCATATGTTGAAATGAGACTCTTCCTGCAGATATTAAGGTAACATAACATACAGAATAGAACTCCTTGTTTTATTTGATTTTCTTCAGCTTATATGCCTGTCTGCCTGGCTATAAAACACAAGCCTTTAGAAATGACTGAATTCAATCACCTAGAATGTTCCTGGTTACTCTATTTTTTATTTAATATATAAATATTTTGATCACTTCTCAGTTTTAACATACACTCTGATACTTACCACAGGTAAATAATTTGAAATTGCAAATTGAGACTAGAAATGTGCATATTTCCTTGAGACTCTATGCCTGCAATTCCAGTGGTCACCACTATATGTCAGTAGTACCTCCTACAACATAAATGTTCTACTAGTTTTGTTTTCCAGTTGCACATATTTGAGACTTTTAATGAAAATAAATATTTATTGTGTTATAGTATTCACTTAAGACCACAGAGCAACTACTGTGCAAAAAACAGTTTATTTACTTTGTTCCCTTGCTAGTTGCTTCTAAGAATTCCTTGCAAGGATGCTTTTATATAGCTGATGGCTAGCAAAACAGTGCCATTTTTGCTTGTGTCTTCTAATGAGTCATTTAACTACTTTTTAAAGTAATTTTCTAATTTTCTTTAGAGAGTAGGATAACACACTTTTGACTCTAGATCATTTTTGCCTATTTCATACTCTCTTTGATTCAAATAAAAATGTACATTGGCTGCCATAATTTTTTCAACTAGCTGATTATTATAGGCTCTTTAGTAGAGATTGCAGAAGCATTGGATTTTATATGCCAGTGATGATTTGTTATAGTGGCTGGTGGGATTACAGAGTTGAGAAGGAGTAGCAATGTCTGTCATGGGTATGAGACAGAGAAGTTGTGATATACAATTTCCAGGTATTTGCCAGCCTTATTCTCAATTGACAATACAATCTGCAAGTTGTATTTAGAAAAATGAAAGAATAAAAATAAATTTTAGAAATATGTGGGACATAGGCATCTGATTATCCACACTCCAAGCGTTATAAGAGAATGGTTCTAAGAAGCCTTCTAATAGTACTTTACTCAGTCTAATAAAGACAGGTGGTTAATATATGCAATAAGACTATAATACTTTTGATTTTCTATTTTCACACTGCTGAATACCAGAACTACATAGAACTACATAGCACAGTATAACTAGAAGTTGCGGTGGGAATGATCCTTCACCCAGAGTTCAGAGATAGCCAACAACTCTGGCATGATGTCCAGGCAATGATATTGGATGCAACATAGTGATGCAGAGATAGATGTTTTCAAAAATAGCTTACACACTACAGAGAATCGTAAAACACAGATGCGCAGAATCACAGTTGCAGCCTCTAAGAAAGAGAGAATCACGTGTTTTTACCTCATTGAAAACACCAGAAGAATGATCTTGAACATAGTCCAGAGGCTTTTTAGGAGGCTGGGTGTAGATGCACCACAGAAGCAGAAGTGTAGGGATGGAATGGAGGACAGTCAATGGCAGCAAGGAATGAACATGTGGAAAAGGTGACAACAGTTAGAAATTGAGTGCTGACAGCATCGGCTACACACACAGAATGACACGAATGGAGCAAAATGGGGCAGCTGGGAGGGAGTGTGCCACGTGTGCAAACACACAAGCACTGGGAAAATTTGCTAGTGTTCAATTAGCATACTTATAAACGCATTGTGTCAAATTTAATTAGCACTCCTAGTCTCTGGCCACAGAGGAATGCAAGGTATATTAAAGAAACATTAAAGGAGAAAGTGGGTAGCATGCTGGTGAGTTTCCACGTGTGGCTGAAAATGATTACGGAAAAGCTGACAGAAATTGGAATAGCACTATATACTTTCTTTTTAAAGTTTATTTTACTTTATTTTTTTGAGACAGGGTCTCACTCTGTCACCAGGCTGGAGTACAATCTTGGCTCACTGCAACCTCTGCCATCTGGGTTCAAGCCATTCTCCCACTTCAGCCTCCTGAGTAGCTGGGATTACAGGAGCATGCCACCACGCCCGGCTAATTTTTGTATTTTTAGTACAGATGGGGTTTCACCATGTTGGCCAGGCTGGTCTCGAACTCCTGACCTCAAGTGATCCTCCTGCCTTGACCTCCCATAATGCTGGGATTGTAGGCGTGAGCCACCATGGCTGGCTGTCCTTATAAACTTTCTAACCAATAGTAACAAAACATATAAAATAGAGCTAGAAAATGTTTTTCCTTGAAATAAAATACATTTATGTTAACACTAAGATACAAATGAGGAAAAAATGAGAGAAAACATTCCTCCTATGAGATAATAAAAACCTTATGAAAAATTGTTTGGTTTCTATTCGCTTACAGTCATGTTTGATTCAGTTCAATAAGCGACCTTGAATCTAACCAAGTCTCCTTTGCAGTTTAATGTACAAAAGGGACTACCATCACCAACCAGTAAACCATACATGATCAATATACAAATATATATAAATCAGCATATGGTATAGAAACGATTATATTCTGATTTCTAAAAAAACGACGATCAGTGTAATTGGTATGTTATTTAAGAGTCTAAAACCCATGAAAATGTTTGTAACCGACACACATCAAATGCACTGCTGTTGGTGGATGCAGTTCTTAATCAGGGAAGTTGTTAACGGAACCTCGACTTGACTCTTTATCCAAAGCAGGCTAAGCAATAAGGCCCAACCTCAAGGCTTCCTCTGGTGGGAGTCTGGGGATTAAAGAAGTGTGATGGCTTTCACAGGTAAGTCTGGCAATCAAGATCCACAGGGTTTCCCGATTTTTGTCCTTCCTTTTATCCCTAATGGTAAACTGGGTACAGTCACGTGTTGCATAAGGACGTTTCAGTCAATGGTGCACCCCATGTATGATGACGGTCCCATAAGATTACAATACTGTGTTTACCATGCCTTTTCTATGTTTAGATATGTTTAGGGACACAAATACTTACCATTGCGTTACAGTTGCCTGCAGTACGGAGTGCAGTAACCTGCTGTACACGTAGCCCAGGAGCAGCAGGGCATGCCACACAGCCTAAGCGTGCAGCAGGCTCTAGCACCTGGGTTTGTGTAAGTACTGCACGCTGTCTGCACAATGGCAAGTTCACCTGATGACACATTCTCAGAACCCGTCCACGTTGTGAAGCAACACGTGACTGTATTTTACAGTGGGATTACCCTGGCAGTATATTATAGGAAAAACTGCCCAGAGATTTTTTTTTTCTTTTGACAGGCTCTGGGTTTAACTTCTTACTCTATCATTTACTATTCTGAGCAAACTACTTAACCCTTCAGGTCCCCATTTTCTTCTAATTGGAGGGACATCAGGAGGACTCAGGGAGATAACGAAGACGGAGCCCAGCACTCTCCAGGTGCCCGACGATTGCTCAGCAAGCAGGCCCGTCAGTGTCAAGGTGCTCTTCTGCTTGAACTAGACCAAACAGACTGTAAACAAATACAAATCTTCTATAAAGCTGTGCTAATTGTCTGAATACTCCAGCACAGAAACTGCCTCAACATTTTGAACTTTCAATTAACTAGATCTAAAGAAATCCTAATGAATGATTTGAAACCATATAGGAAATATCTGAGCACATTGAACCATTTGGCACAGAAGCGAACCTGCACTACGCTGTAGGAAATTTGCATCTGTGTTACGCATTCAGCCTTTGTTCTCTGAATGACACCCATGTCTCCTGATAACGGTGTTTCATAAATCAAACAACATTCTCCTAGTTTTCTTATATTAATAGTCTAGCCTCACTTACCGGGCGTCCAAACTCCAGTTCTGAAAAGAATTTATACCAGGGCTCATTTTCTAAATCTATGTCATCTGGATTTATGCGATCGGTCTAGAGCAGACGTGAAGGAAAAGGGAAGGAAAACGTACACTGAGCGAAGGGAGGGAAACGCGGTGTGGCATGAAAAGCTCGCGCGCGTTCCCACGCAAACGTGCATCAACTCTCACCCCACGAACCTCAGCAGCAGGGAGCGGAGGAGGTAAAGTGACACGAGTGGCGTGAGGATGTGAAGGTGAGCTCGATGGCACTGGGTCCCTGGTGGTCTCCTCGTGCACCGTTTCTAGTTGGCCTAAGCCGTGGACGGCTCTTACAGAGTCCATCCGCTTAACAAGCACGAGGCATGCAGTGTGGACCGCTCTCCACGCAGCTAGGCTGGGGCTGGCTGGCGCGCCTGACGAGCCCACAGGCCCAACCCCGGCACCAGGCAGCCCTTTGGGGCGAGCCCCTTCCTGTCCCTGCCCTCACCGGGGGTGCAGTCCCAGTGTGGGAGCCGGCAGTCTGCACCCAGTTCCCTCAGGTGCAGCCGGTGGAGAGTCTGGAGGGGGAAGGGTGCGGGAGAGGTGGGGAGAGTGGGGAGCCGGGGGGGAGGGGGCAGGGCGCTGGGGGGCTTGCAGGGGCCTTGGACGAGAAGATTCTGGGGTCTGGGTGGGTGCGAGCAGGCCCGGGGAAGTGGGAATCGCCAGGCTCCGAGCAAGCAAGGGCCGCGCCTGAGCCTCTGCCGGGCACCGAGAAGGGCAAGGAGGGAAGGAGCTCACCCGGGTGGGAGGCAGAGCCGGGGCGCGCGCGCTTGGCGTGGGGGCGCCACTCCGGGGCGGAGGGGAGGGGCTGGCAGCGACTCCTCCGAGTCCAGAGCCAGAAAGAGGCTTCAGGCCAGGTTCCCTTGGAACAGGTGTCGGAGTTGTTGGGAGAGGGGGCTGCAAGAAAGAGGGGTGCAGAGACTGGGTCATTAGACGGAGGCTCCGGGCGGAACCGCGAGGGCACCCTGGCAGCGCGCTGCGCCTGCGGCAGGCTGGGCCAGGCCGAGTGTCCCTGGGGACCCAGGCACCTGGGGGGCGATCCGGGCCCCTGCGGAGCCCTCCCACCAGGAGTCCCTCGGAAGCTGAAGGAAGATCCCCAAGATTCACCTCCCCGCTGTCTACTTCGAGCTGAGAAAAGGGTCTGGGTTTTCCCAGCACCCTGGAGGCCGGGCAGGGCAGGGACTTGGGATAAAATCCCATGTTGGTTTCCTTGATGTTCTAATTTAGAGAAAAAGCCAATTCTATAATTGACTTGCTTCCCTTCAGAGGTTTCTGAATGTTGCTTTTAAGTTGGAAAAACTAGGAGTGTTAATATAAACAGTTGGAGAAAATACACACAATTATTTTGGTAATAGGAAACAGATGCAGAGTGTTTACGTTACCCAATAATATTCTTAATATTTTCAAACAGTACACGCCTGACTAGATCGATTCAGGCTGCTGATTTTATATGAAATCTAAGTGCTTAAAGTACTATATGCAAGTTATCACTTATTTCATAATTATCGTATGACGCTAATTAAATGTGGTACAGTTGAAGAGCACAGTATCTTCAACTTAGAAAAAAAATTCTAAGAAAAATTGTATGGTTCCCTAAAAGCCATTCACTCTCGCTAGGAGAAGAGCCGAGACTCCCAAGACATATTCCGGGAAGGCTATGAAGTGCTCACTGCTTCAGAGCAATTCAGCATCATTTGCTTACAATTCTTTTTTTTTTTTTTTTTTTTTTTTTTTTAGGGTTTGTTTTTTGTACCCGCGCCGG